TTCCATGTTTTGAGTTCTCCCAGTTTGTAAACTGTCTTTTTGGTGTGTGCACAATAATTGGTGATTCATTGGTTTTACCTCTGTCATTTCTGAACCTTTGACAATAGAAACAGTATAATTTTGTCGAAAGAGCCCAGGAGCCAGAATCAGAAGACTTGAATCCACATTTGTCTTAAGTGTGTGACATTAGCTTTGTCACTTAATATATTTCTGCTAGGATGCCTTTGGCAGGTAGTAATAGCTAACTCTAATTAAACAATAGATTTATCATCTCTCTCACTACAAATTATATGAAATGAGCAGGTTCAGGAGTATGGCCCTAGGTTTCTCTGTAGTTTCCCTGGCTTTACTCTTCTCCAAGTGTTGGGTTTATCCTCATGATGGCAGCAAAATAGCTGCAGTGACTCCAGCCATCAAATTTAGATCTAATAACACCCAGAAGCAATACAACTGTCTCCTCTGCCTTAAGAACAAGAAAACTTTTTCCCCAGCAGCAACTCAGCATGACTAATTGGCCAAAAGGCCATCACAAGCCTCCCTTAAATCAATCACTGGCAGAAAGGATGAGGTTGCGACTATTGGCTTAAACCAGTGGAATGAATCCCTGGCTGCATATTAGAATCACCTGGGTAACTTCTAACACCATGCACAGAGCAAACCTGTGGAGGTGGAATCAGCCATGTTTAAACTTTTTTTTTTTTTTTTTTTTAAGGGATCCCTGGGTGGCTCAGCGGTTTAGCACCTGCCTTCAGCTCAGGGCATGATCCTGGGGTCCTGGGATCGAGTCCCACATGGGGCTCCCTCACAGGGAGACTGCTTCTCTCTCTGCCTCTTTCTCTGAGTCTCTCATGAATAAATAAATAAAATCTTTTAAAAAAAATTTTTTTCAGATTGCCAATGTCTAGAACCACTGGCTAAGAATGATTAGAACTAGTTCATCAGTTTCTCCTAAATTAAGGATAAGGTAGATTCCTGAACTATACTGGGTTTCTGATAGGCACAAAGAATGGGAAAATAGATTATTAGGGAACTGGTATTATCTGCTCTACTTAATTTCTCAGAGGTACATTTGTAAAATAGAAGCCAGTATCTGTTCTATTGGATTATGTGGCCCATTGTGAAATTTGAAATCGATATATTTTTGTATTTGTATGTGTGGTATATGTATATATATGTGTGTATAAATGGGTTATTATTTATATATACATTCAACTCAAGGTTCTCTGCTATTTAGCAAAATCAGGTACAAAAATGAGACATTTTTCCATAGATCAAAACACATAGGGAAAAGGTAGAAAAACATATTTTTCCATCTATTTCCAATGGCTGACGGTTCAGCAGTTTGGAGCTTGACTCCCAGACCAGGGGTTGTCAAACATTAGCTGCAATAGAAACACCTGCTGGGCTTGTTAAAACCTATTGCTGGCCCCACTCCCAGAATTTCTCATTCAGTAGATCAGGTGTGGGGCCTGTTATTTGCATTTGTAATAGGTGTCCAGGTGATGCCCATACTGCTAGCTTGGGTTATTTTGGGAACCCCATGTGAAATTTGTTCTCCCTTAAGATGAATGGTATCCCTCCTGCACTGTTGGTGGGAATGTGAAATGATGCAGCCACTCTCGAAAACTGTGTGGAGGTTCCTCAAAGAGTTAAAAATAGACCTGCCCTAGGACCCAGCAATTGCACTGCTGGAGATTTACCCCAAAAATACAGACGCAGTGAAACGCCGGGACACCTGCACCCCGATGTTTCTAGCAGCAATGTCCACAATAGCCAAACTGTGGAAGGAGCCTCGGTGTCCATCGAAAGATGAATGGATAAAGAAGATGTGGTTTATGTATACAATGGAATATTCCTCAGCCATTAGCAATGACAAATACCCACCATTTGCTTCAACGTGGATGGAACTGGAGGGTATTATGCTGAGTGAAATAAGTCAATTGGAGAAAGACAAACACTATATGGTCCCATTCATTTGGGGAATATAAATAATAGTGAAAGGGAATAGAAGGGAAGGGAGAAGAAATGGGTAGGAAATATCAGAAAGGGAGACAGAACATGAAGACTCCTAACTCTGGGAAACGAACTAGGGGTGGTGGAAGGGGAGGAGAGTGGGGGATGGGGGTGAATGGGTGATGGGCACTGAGGGGGGCACTTGACGGGATGAGCACTGGGTGTTATTCTGTATGTTGGCAAATTGAACACTAATAAAAATAAATTTATTATTTAAAAAAAATGAATGGTACCCAATGTGTGATCCCAGGGCCAGCATCTCCAGCATCCCCTGCAACTTGCTAGATATGCAAATTCCCAGGCCCAACCCCAGAGCTTCTGAATCAGAAACACCCCATGGTCTGTGCCTTAATAAGTGAATCTGAAGCTTTCTGATGTTTGAGAACCACTGATCATTCCTGGCTGTGCATTATAATCATGGGGCATTTACAATAATAATAATAATCATACCTGGGTTTCACTCTTAGACATGTGCTTTTTTGGTTGTTTCTTTTAAACTGCATCTCAAGGATGGGAGCTAACGGGCTAGAGCAGTGCTTCTCAAACTCTTATGAGTTTGGGGATTTTGTTGAAATGCAGATGTTGATGCAGAGCCTGGGGTGAGACTTGAGATTCTGCATTGCTAACAGGATCCCTGATACTGTGGCTGATACTACTGCACCACTTCTCCAGCCACGTTTTGAATGAGGGATCTAGATGTAACAATACTGCCCCCCTGCCTCCCAGCACAATGCTTTGGTGCCTGACACCCAGCTCTGAGGCCTGGGCTTTATTCCAGATGTCCCTGAGACAGAGTGTCATCAACAGGGATGCCTTAGAGCCTCTTCTCATCCAGCTCGCAGCTGATTGCTCACCACATCTCCATTCTGTGCTTCTGAGGGCTTCCTTTTAGAACAAAATGGTTGACCAGATACCACTACAGCTGCAGACTTTGTGCTCCATTCAGAATCCTTTCACTGTTAGAAGCAGCCCTGCCCCACCCCATATGACCCTCCCTGCTCCAGATCACTGCCTTTTCTCTCTTTACCCTTGTATACCTGGGCACATGAGCTGTGACTCATACTTAACAAAAAAACGGGCATCCCAGATCTTCAGTGACCCTAGGGAGTATAATTTCTTTGTGGTATTGTGATGTTGGGATTTAAAAGAAACACATATTTGGTCATTCAGATGACTAAAGGTACATATTTAGGTACATATTTGGTCTTTGTCCAAAGTTCTGGTCTCCTAAAAGCCTGGGAATTTCCTAAGTGAAAAGAGAGACAAAAGTATCTCTTCTTATGTTAATGAGACAACTTTTGGACCCCACCCAAGGGTGGAGTGTAGTTGCCAGGAGAACCAGTCAGGTAATTAGAGGGTTGGAGGTTTCAGGTCACCCCTCCTGGCCTCCTGGGAGGGGAGAGAAGCAGGAGGTTAAATCAACTACCAATGACCAATGATTTAATCAATCATGACTGTAATAAAGTCTCCATAAAAACCCAAGAAAGATAGGGATCAGAGAGTGTCTGGGTTGGTGGACAGGTGGCTATTTGGGAAGAGTGGCAAGCTCCATGCTCTTTCCCCACACCCTTTTATAATGAACTCATAATCTAGTGAGTAAAATGTTTCCCTGAGTTTTGTGAGCTGCTCTAGCAAATTCATCAAAACTGAGGAAGGATGGGGCACCTGGGTGGCTCAATGGGTTAAACGTCGTCTGCCTCTGGCTCAGGTCATGATCCCAGGGTCCTCCCTCATGCATGCTCTCTCTCACATGAATAAATAAATAAAATCTTAAAAAAAATTGAGGAAGAGGCCATGGGAACTTCTGATCTGTAGTCAGTGGTTCAGAAGCACAGGTAACAATGTGGGCTTGAGACTGGTGTCTGAAGGATGGGGTAGGGGCAGTCTTGGACTGAGCCTTTAACCTGTGGATTCTAATGCTCTGTCCCAGTAAATCCTGTCAGAATTGAGTTGAATTCTTGGACACCCTGCTGGTGTCTGAGAACTGTTTGTTCATTTGGGACATGTCCTCAGCATGTTGGAAATTGAATCTCAGAACAGAAAAGAAGGTGCATAAGATGAATCACACTCTTTTACTAGACCCTGGTGCAACCTACTACACTTCTGAGCCTCTCCACAGAGGGAACAATACTGACCTAACATCAGTGGGAAAATGAACATCAGGACATCATATGGCTTCTGCATTCTGTATATTTATGGATCAGGCATAGGGCTGAACTTCTTTATTTTTCCAACACCGGTATGACATAGGAAATTCAGACAAATGTGAGAATTTAGGCAGGGGGTAATTTGTCATTCTCACCATTTTCAGCCACAGATTCTGGGCTGCAATACAACTAGGCTGAAATTTTCAAGGGTCATTAATGCTTCAGCTGCATGGTTGAGCTCACATTAGCGGGAGAGATAATCTACAGATAAATCACAGGTGATGATGGGAAAGTCTGCCTTGCTTTCAGGTCTGTGTGGACAGACCTGCTCATCTCTTAGAGACAGACATGGCTAAAACTCTCCATGACAGTGACTTTCCAAGTATGGCTCCAGCAGTATCCAGATCACCTGGGAGCTGGTTAAGGGACCAGCTTAGAGTGACCTTGCTTTAGTAGGCTGGTTATATATGAAGCAGAGCTGAAATCTACTCAAATAAGAAAAAAAATCTTACCTCTACCAGCTACATTCTACTGATTAAAGGCCAAAGGTATGGGGAAAGAGTTTAAATAATTAAACATTATTTAATGGCATTTAAGTTTCTTCTGAAATTTCTTTTGGGCATGGTGGACTTGGTCCCACTTGGGTTCCCCTGTGGCCAAAAAATCTGTTGGTTCCCAGAAACTTGTCTCTCCGTTCCTCAGCTTCTTCAGCTGGGTCCCCTTGCCCCAAGCCAAGACAGCCTCATGGCAGGCTTGCTAGACTCTGTATTCATTGCTTTCTTCACCTTTTGTTGTGCCCAGGATTGCGAATCCGAGAAACCACCGAGGAGCCAACACCGATGCAAGCACTCAGAGGGTTTATTTACAAGCTCGAGCTTGGGTCCAAGTGTACCCGACACAGTGGAGCAGGGACTTGGACCCCCGAAGTGGGTTACAGCTGGGTTTCTTATAGGCTGGTCTAGGGGATTTCCAGAAGGGGTGGAGGAATTTCTCAAGTTCTGTTTACATTTTGATATGGGGCTTTCAAGGGCATTGAGCTCTGTTCTCATTCTAATAGGGGCTTCCTGTCCTTGGCTTGGGCTCTGTTCTTATTCTAATATGGGGCTTTCCAGGACATTAAGCTGTAAACTGTTTTCTTCCTGTAACTGAAGTAATGTAAAGTTCAGCTCTTATTCACAGGGGCCTGGGATGGCTGTACTTGTGCTAACGCTAAACTTGAGGTGGAGTTGCCTTGCTTTTTCTCGGCCTCCACACTTTGTGCCATCTTCTGGATCTTCTGGTTTCCATGACCATGTTCTGTGGCTGAAAAATAGAGGAAGAAAAATAATTGTCCTTCTGCCCTCCTGGCTTTTGTGGCTGAAGCCCCTCATAATAAAAGACAGATTAACAAGAGAGAGAAAGAAAATAAAAGGAAGTTTAACAAAATGTGTACCTCTATGTACATTGGAGATACCCAGGAAACCTGAGTTAGTCCCCAAAATGGCCCAATCCATCCATTAAATACCATCTTCAGCTAAAGCCAAAAGAAAGATGTTAGCGGGTGGAGAGGCCAGTTATGGGAAGTGACCAGGAAAAGCAGAGTAAACAAGGGAAAAGTTGTGATGTAGATTTAAGTCAGTGCCTTGTGCTCTGACAACAGTTTCTTGTGATTTAGAGTCTTCTTTCTCTTCCCGGAACAGAGAGGGAGACATTCTGGCAAGTGGAAATGTCCCTTATAAATGTAAATTTCCCTTATAAAAGACTAAATTTTACCGTTTTCAGAGCTTTTCCCGTGTCTGATGGCTCTCAAAAATAATCAGCTTAAAATTATCCCTGTACCAAAAAGGGGGTATTTTAGGGTGGTGTATTCTGCTCCCCTTTGGCTGCATAAAGGAGCATGGATCTGAAGAGATTTGGTGAGTACTACCTCAATCCTCTCTTCTGTACCCATCACTCAGCCCCCTCTTTGTGACTGTCTTCGTGGCACTCTGTTGGATGTGGCAGTGGGTAGTAAACTTGATTCTTTTTGGGGACCTACAGCTGTCCCCTGGGTCTGCCTCTAAAGCCAAATACTCATATTGCTTATCATGGTATTTCTTCCACATTTCCTGCCTTTCCCCTCAGGTTCCATCCCAGGAGGGAAGGAGAGAAGAAGCACTGGCATTTTACTTCTTTGGTCCCCTCCAGCTTACCAAACACTTTTTTTTGCCTCTCCAGTGGGAGGTTTATGACTCATTTTTGATCTGTCATTGATCCAACCCAGTTCCTAAGCCATGTGGCAAAATGGACATGGGGAAACAAAATATATAGTGGGACCAGGGGACTTACATTCGAAGTCCTATCTCAATTCTATTTGTTCTATGGGTACAAGATACATTGGAGTTCCTGTCTTTATCTGAGCTACCCTAGTCCCAGGACATTCTAGACAAAGTAGAAACTGACAATATAGTATCTACCAAAAAGAGAGAGGGGTAGGGATTTGGAGGGTGCTGCATGACCACTATCAAAGCATTTAGAACTGGAAATAGAGATTTTGATAGTCTTTGTGTTTGTGTTTATCTACACAGCAGCAGTAAATCACTGGTCATTTGGGACCAAAAACAGTTTCATGTTGGAATAATGCCTGTTTTTTCTACTGCTATATTCTCAGTGCCTGTGGCACATATTAACAGTAAGTGTGTGGAATGGATGAAAGAGGCAAACATGGAGAGAAAGAGAAAGCAAGATAGACTCAGAAATGAGTGAAATAACTAAACAACTATAGTGTGGATGGGAAGTGTAGATGGGAAGGTCATCCTCCAGCACAGAGAAGATACATCCCATTACCCCCAACCACCTCCACCTAAGATATGCAATAGACTTGGTCCAGGAAGACTTCTGATAGTAGTCTAGACATGAGTATTGTTAAAAATAAAACAACAGACCCAAAATGGAGTCACTTGTGCTAAGTCCCACATTACCAAACCAAGACTTAATTATAGCCTTGGTTCTCCCAGCAATGGAACCTTAAACCAATCTATCAGGAATCACTAGTGAGGTCATCTGCCTGGTAGGCCCCTGCCATGCCCTAAGGGGAAGTGACCTTGCAAGAAGCAGTCTTCTCTTTGCCAGTATAACTTCCTTGTTTCTGCTCCCTTCTGCCACTAAAATTTTCACTTGGCACAATTCCTCACAGCTCTTTTCTGTCTGCTAGATAGGATGCTGTCCAATTCATGAATCAATTTTCGCTCACATAAACTTGAAAATTTTAATATGCCTGTTTATCTCCTAACAGTATCTTAATTAGCCTGGATTTTTACCAATTCTGCTTTTATTTCCCCCTTTTCCTTTTATGAATTTTTTTTCCACCACCCAGCAAATTGCAGCCTCAAGATCCCAATATTTCACTTACCATAAAACACCAGTTTTCCATAAATCCGTGTGATTGGAGATGCTCCATTTAAAAACACATTCAGCAAAATCTAGAGGGTTGAGACAATATGTATCCTACCTCTTTCCAGTAGACTGAAATTATACATCCCACATCCTTATTTCACCAATTAAAATGACACATTAATCATTTTCCTTCCCTGTGTTCTTCTTATTTCATGTTACTCTGACTCCTCCCCATTTCTCTGGCGGAAGCTGCTGGGACCATCTGAAACATGCCCACATGAATACTATATGTTTCCACTAAGCTGTGTGAAATGCATCCACGGACCACATGAAACACCTCCTCACAGCTTCCATATGTCCCAGCACAGTGAACACCAGGTGGCCCCTGCCTCAGGCGGCATATTGAAGTGGACTCTTGTCTTCAGGGCTTCCAGAACTCACTTTTGTTCCCCATCTGTCTCTCTTCTCCCCACTAAGTGAACCCCCACTTAAGCAAGCTCTACATCATGCGTTGCACATTGGCAATTCTCAGCCATAAGGTCTCAAGTAACTTTTTACTATTGTGGCAGAGTAACTAAACTTCTCCATCTTCTAAGCAGGGTGGTTAGAGAAGGAGTCTGGGAATTAAAAGCAAGTCGTCGTGCCAGTACATCAGCTATGCTCTGACTGCAAAGTAGCCAAATATCAGAAGTAATGTTGCTTAAACAATAGGGCTCCAGGGTTGATGGGGGCTCTCTGATGGCATGGCAGGTTGTTTTTCTCTGTGACCCTCTTGGTCATCCTCTTGTGGTCACAAGCTAATGTGGCAGCTCCAAACTTGGACTCCTCATATAACACTGCTCAAAGTGAGAAGAGGGGAGAAGGCTTCTCCTGGTGCAAATCTCTCTCTTTTTTATTGGGGCAGAAAATCTTTTTGGGAATCAAAGTCCCCTTCTTCCCTTAGCAGATTTCCCTCTCAAGTCCCAGAGTCCACAGTGATATCATGAATCCACACCCTAGCCATGCAGAAGCTCAGGAATGTGAGGCTCAGACATTGTCTTCCTCTCTATAGGGAGGTAGGTCTTCCCAGGGTTAGCCAACTGTTAGAGATAGCAAATAACTTACACACTTTTCAAATGCAAACCAGCCAATCCAGGGCCTGCACATTACCCCTTTGATGGGCCCTCAAATTCAGGCTGCTATTTTCCTACCCTAATCACCCCAGGGCCAGGCACCAGACAACTAGGGACACTCCCGGTACCACAGAGCCCATTAAAACATTCAAGTTAGCCTGTCCTAAATCTGGTCACCCTGCCTCATCTGTTCCTTCCCACAGAAACCATAAAAAAGGCTCTTGCCCAACAGCTCTCCCTTCTCCATCTGGCTCCTGACTGACCTTGGTGCTTCTCAACATGGCCCTCTCTGCATGATGTGCCCCCTCGTCTTGGAAACTGTAAGTAACAAACTATCTTCTAAGTGGGAGCTGTCTCCTAATCTGTTGGCCTTACTGAAGCTCAAATTTTCTGTGAATACACTTTGTTTTAGAATCAGCTCTGCTGGCAACAAACCCTTCTAGAAGAGTTTTTGTCTCCCAGGGGAAGATAATGAAAAGGAGTCTCTCTTTCTACATTAAAGAATCAGTACTAGTTATCTGTTTCCACAAAACAAATTAAGACTTGGTGGCTTAAAACAATAATGGTTGTTTTCTCACCTCTCATATTTCTTTGTAGGTCAGGAATCTGAGCAGGATTGAGATGGGCAATTCTGGCTTTGCATCTGATGTCATCACCCTCAGGCATGCCTGGAGCTGCAATGACATGGGTTTACAGAAGCTTGGCCAGTCATTGTGCTGTGCACATGTATTATCTCAGTGAATCTTTTATATCCATCTTTTGAGATATGTAATATTTATTAGGATGATTTTACAGGTGGGGACAGGGCCTTATCTAGGTTATGAGGTTGGTAAATGGTGTCATTGCTCAGGACATCAGCCCCCTTCTGTCCTCTTTGTTCTCTACTGCACTACTGTATATTGATATTCTTTATAGTACATGCAGATGTTTGAAATAATCTTGTATATTCATTGTATCTTTTGCTAATTTGTCTCTGTTTCCAGTGGAATGCCATGTCCTTGAAACAGGGGGCATTGCTCTTGGGGTTCACTTCTTTTTCCCAGAGCCTAGAACAGCCTCTGACACATTGCACACACTCAGTAAATAGTCACTGAATGAAGCACAGAACTTGGATTTGCTCTCAGGTCTGGCCAGTAAAATGTCACCTGGGCAGCAACAGGAGGTCCAGCCTGCAGTAACCCCAGATCCTAGAACTGCCCCACCCACCCAAAGTTATTCTTCCACCTTGACTCTTTGGCACGTCCCTCATCTCATCCCTAAGCATTTCTTTGTGTGAAGTTTTAGCTGATTACTCCTGCCCATGAGGCCTTATTCTCTCCTTGTGAAGGTTCCAGATTCACCAGTAGAGTTCTGTATTACTGAGGCTACATTATGCTAAATCCTGTGGGAGGACAGGTGTTTGCACTCCCACAGTTTACCAGTGACAGCTGCAAAATCAGAAGCCATCTCTGCTGTTCTCCCTTTTTCTCTTTTCTTTCCCTGTCTCTTATTCTCAGCCTCACCTCCAGTATGATTGTCAAGCAATGGCAAGACAGCTACTTATGGCCCACAGTCTCCATGAAATCCAGCCTTTCTTCTTCACCCAGGACACCTGAAGCAGCCAGCTCAACGGTACATTTGTAGGCAATGGACAGATGGCTTAGCGAGAAATTAAAGCTCTTCACCCCCATCATTTTCCCTTGGAAAAATCTACCCAAAAAGGCTTAGTATTCACACACACACCCTCAGACATATGCACATACTCATACACACACACTCACACACACAATTGTATTCCTTGAGCTTTATTTACATATGTTACTTTATTTCCTGGATGGCTTGAGTTTCTCCATGCAACATTTGTAAGCGGGGAGGGATGGCATGGCCCATCACTTTAAAGGCCCCAGGGAGAAGACCCCAGACATTCTGGCTCTCTCTCCTCCTAACATAGAGAGAAGTATGGGGATCAGCATCCTTTTATGACAACAGAGCTGGAGGCCTGTGTGTGTGTGAGGCCAAAACCTAGGTAATAATTGCTCTTGTCCTCACAATAAGCCTCTAATCAAGTCTCACTTCCCATGCGATAGGGAAATCTATTTTCTTCTGTGCTGTTTTACTACTTTCACTATGGACTCAGGGTTCCCAGCCTACTTCTTATACATCATGTTGTTATAAGAGGGCTTTATAAACTATATTGAGCTTCCTTAGAACCAGACATTTTTGATGAGAGAGAGAGATAATATACTTTGTGGGCAGGCTAAGATGGCAGTCTATAGCAGGTGTGATGGTCAGGTGTCTGCTGGCTATTAGCACTTAATAGTCAAGGTCTTTCTGGAAACAGCTCATTGAGAGAACTTCTATTTTGCCCACTACGAGCTTCCTGTGATGGTCATTCTAGAAGACACCCATTTGCTGCTGCAGTCCTTCTGTTGGATCATTATGGCTCCCAGTTCAAGGAAGAGCTTTGTAGAGAGAATCCTGAATTCCAAAGCTTTCTCAGACATGCTGAATAGATTGTGTTAGACCCTGCAGGCAATTGCTTTCCATAGAAAGTCTTAGGCCAGAAAAAAAGAGCATAAATCCAGCTGAAGCATTTCAAAATCTGTAAGCAGAATAAATTCCAGACCAGGGTCACGGAACAGTAATTCTCTTCAGACATAATGGTCCTCACTAGCAAAATGTGTTCCCCTTCATATGTAGAAAAATGGAATCACTGAAGGAAAGAGCTGGAAAGGTCTTTGAAGATCATCCAACAGAGAGACCCCCTCATTTTCTTTATGATTTGAAGAGGCAGAGCATTTCTCCAAGCCTACAGTGTGTGAACTAGTTGCAAAGCAGAAACTGGAACCCAGGGAGCCTGACTCCTGGTCCAACATATTCTCATTTTGCCAATTAGCCCACTGACCAAAGAACTGTGACATTACAATACATTAAGGAAAAAAAGAATCGAGGGAGAAGGTTGCTTTTTGAAGAATCTGATTCTTCCACTCTACACTCTAATTAACTGAGACCCAGAGATTCAGAGCAACTTATTCCAGACAGAAGAACTAATACTTCAAGTGGATGTCTTCGCAGTCCCAGTCTGGTGCTCTTTCTCCTAACAGGACTACTTGGACCATCCTTCTGAGCAACATGTCTGCATTCTTGCCATGGTAAAAAATGGGGAGCTAGAAAGAAGCAGGTGCCAAAATTTCAAATGACTTCGGGAACTAGACAACCCACCTCAAGGAGAAAAATGGGCTGAGTAAGCAAAATGCAATGTAAAAGAAGGAATTTTGGGGACAGAAACTGAGTCTAGTCATCCCCTCTTAGTACCTTGGTCCAGGTACTTGACCAGAGGCTGATAACAACAGATAAAAGTAATGTCTAGAGAGACTGATGAAGTTAAGCAAGGTCAGGTAAGGACCAAAGCACCAGGCAGATAAAAGTATTAAGCTCTGTGAAAGAGACTTAAGAAAGGAGAAACAGGTACATTAGAAAGTAAAAATTCCAGGGCAACTGGGTGGCTCAGTGGTTGAGCATCTGCCTTTGGCTTGTGTCGTGATCTTGGGGTCCTGGTCATGATCCTGAGGTCCTGGGATCGAGCCCCACATCGGACTCCCTCTGCCTATGTCTTTGCCTCTCTCTCTATGTCTCTCAAGAATAAATAAGTGAAATCTTCAATTAAAAAAAAAGTAGAAGTTTGGTACTTCACAGAGTTCAGTCATCATGGGTCAGGAAAGCAAGCTAAGAGACTGGTGAAGAGAGAGGCAGGAAGTAAAGCAGAAGTCTTGGGAAACATAGAGAACAAGCTCAGGTTAAATTATGGACTAGAAGAGGTGCATCTTAGCAAGAGACCTAGGAGAGCATCCCCAACACCAAGGACTCCATACTGAGGTAACTGATTTCGAATACATGCTTTCCCCTTAATACTTCTGCCCAAGGTCATAGTTTTGTCTCTGAATGTAGGAACGAGTAGATCTACAACTGAAAGCCATTGCACATGTGAGGATTAGGCACCAGATGAA